GCCACTTGACTAAAAAATGACATTTGTAAAGTTTTAGCTCAATTGGATAATGCTAACCCGTGCCTCATCGAGGTTGAAATTTCGAAAAATTGGAAAATTTTGAAAAAAAACGCAGTTTTTGGTTTGTAAAATAAAAACGGTTCACTCTAGAAACATGATTTTGGTTTTATTTTGTTCATTGATTAGTTTTCTTCAAATGTTATTATGATCACTATTTAGCTACAAGTTATAGTTTCTGACATATTTGCATTGTTACAGATACACATTGAAAAAACGTTGAATTTCTCCATAACAAAAAAACACACAATAACTTATAAACAAATGTTTTTAAAATAACACCATTGTATCTAAATCACTATTATTAACAAATAAACACATTTTTTATTCATATTATATTGTTTATAGTTGTTATACATCAAATAAGTTTCTACTTTAACTCGTTGTTCAAAAGGTAGAGACTCGGATAAAGAGGCTTTTTAGCAACCAGGAAATTTTGTCCGACATTCAGCAATTACTTGCAAAAGATATTATTTTTGATCTTCCTCTTTTGTAATACATGAGTTGTAATCTGTTATTAATTTAACACCCCTTTCTGCTGTATCATTTGTAACTTTTAATCCGTCCACAATCTTTTTACGCATTAAATATTCTTCGTTTTTACTCCATAATTCTGGATTGGTATGCAAAAATTGATCATTAATATTAAATCTTTTTAAAAAATTACTTGATTGTGATGAAATAAAATGGTCCGCATTTTTGTCCAATATTTCTGATACTTCATTTATTTTTATTAGTGGTTTCATATCACAGTAGTCATCAAGTTCTTCATCCTCATTTGCTTGAGATATTAATTTGTTGTCATCCTCTTTTTTACACAATTACTTAATGAATCATCGAATAATGAAAAAACAGCCTGCTCTGGATTGAGGTACTATATGTGGTTGATAAATTTTGAAACTGATATATCTGAGATAAATTTATTGACTTTATTGTAATTTACCAAAGATTTTAACAATTGTAAATCTTGGTTTGGAGCAAGTGCAGGTTTCGGGGCATCCAACCACACTTTCACATAAATATTTATAATAAATAGGCAAATATCATGGAATCCTTGCTTTTCAAAAATTGTCGGTTGAAACTGTTCTCTGAAAAGGTATATTTTCAATGAATATATCGCTTTTGCCATCCACCTTGCGTGATGAAAAGCACCAGGAGCCGCAAACACAATGTTTTCTGACGGAAAGCGTTCTAAAAATATAAGACAAAGATTAATCAATTCTTTGTAATCACTCCTTGGATGATGAACTGTTAATTGTTCTAGAAGATAACTTGAAATTTGACCCGGATTAATCAATTTGCTGGCTACACTCTTATCTTTAACTTCAGATTTAAATTTTTTTATCAATGTTGTTCCATTCAGTTTTAAATTTTTTGAAAATATCCGATTGAGGGCCTGTAGTCTTTCCCATCACAGCATCAAAAAGGGATCTCAAAACTACTTCAAAAATGTGGTGGCGACATGGAAGATTCAATAATTTTTTCTCCATCAATTGCTCTAATAAAACGCTAGCACCTTTAATGCGGCCAGTATTCACGGCAGTTGTGTCAAAGGACATTGCTTGAATCTTGCCAAGTGCATTCCGCTTTCCAAGTTCTGAATAAACAGATTTTGCAATTGTACTGCCAGCACCATTTTCTAATAGGGGAACTCCAATTAACTATTCTTCTTCTCCACAGCTAATTAAAACTGCAACTCTTTCAACATTTTCTTTATTTAACATATCTGGAAGTAGTTTCCCATTCCAATGTATAACTGCTCCTTACCAAAAATGAGAAATTGTAGAAAAACCAAAAAATCTTAATATTAATGCATAAAAACAACATAGAACACCCGGGTTAGTAATAGTAAATAATTTATTGTGTGTTTTTGTGTTATGGAGAAATTCAACGTTTTTTTCAATGTGTATCTGTAACAATGCAAATATGTCAGAAACTATAACTTGTAGCTAAATAGTGATCATAATAACATTTGAAGAAAACTAATCAATGAACAAAATAAAACCAAAATCATGTTTCTAGAGTGAACCGTTTTTATTTTACAAACCAAAAACTGCGTTTTTTTTTCAAAATTTTCCAATTTTTCGAAATTTCAACCTCGATGAGGCCCGGGTTAGCATTATCCAATTGAGCTAAAACTTTACAAATGTCATTTTTTAGTCAAGTGGCACAATTTAGGGGGTTCTCCCGATAAGATTTTGAAAAAAAATTTCTTGTGACCATCCTAATGTACGTACACAGACAGACAGAGAAACACACACACACACTTCTTTGCAATTAAGTAAAAAAGATTAAACAAACAAACACAACAATTTATTTCACGTGAATCAATACAACCACAAGTGCACCACACCATGATACATAAACTCTCTTTCTTTCTCTCTATCTCTCTCTCTCTCTCTCTCTCTCTCTCTCTCTCTCTCTTTCTCTCCCTTCCTACCAAAGTTGTATACGTATTACTAAAGTACAAATGTACAATTAAACGCAAGTACGAAACTTCAATTTTACAACCAACCAAACCAAACAAGAAATTTATTCATGGAAATTCCATGATTACCTTTATATTCTTCTTTCCTTTCTCTTCCCGCAACAGTTTCTACACAGTTAATGAATAATTTTTCCATTTTTTTTGTCATATGAACGTGTTAATGCGTTGTATCGATCAGGGCATTGACGGGCGCTTAGGCCGTATGCACATCAGCATACAATGGAATGTGTTCAGTCGTCTGTTTGTCTTGCATTAGTCATTGTTTGGCCATTGCTTCCAGTCTGAAATACAAAAAAAAACAAAATAAAACAATGGACAAATAACTAACAAACGGTGAAATTAAAAGAAAATAATTTTCTAGTAAATTAAATAATTTAATTATAATTGGGTTGTATAGACGTTGAACAATTAATGAGTTTTTTCTTGAAATGATTGATAGAGAGCAGACAGAGCCAATGTCGGATCTGTAACGTGCAATTAAATTAAATTTATTTAATCATTAACAGAAAAAAAACCAATAAAAATGATAACATTTTTAATAATATTGGCGATAATAATAATGATGATGGCTGTGGTGGTGGTCAGGTGATGATGAAGACAATGGTGATGGTGATAATGATTAGGAAGCAACGATGATGATTAAGAAGGTGATGATGGTATTGATGGCGATAATAATAAAGTGGAGACATACATCCATACATACATACACACACATACCTACATACACACACACACATACACACACACACACACACACACACATACATACATACATACATACATATACTATATATACGTACAATCACTCTCACTGAACCGCTTATATAAAAACCGCTAACCGGCTGATTAAAAATATCTTTGAGTAAAAGACACTATTTTAACATGTTGCCAGTGTTTTCAGTTTGCAGTGTGAATAAGAATAGGAACAGTGTTAGGACACTTCTTATGTTGATGTTTCATTAAAATTTATATATTGATCGTATAATTTGTTGCATACACATTTGTACGTTATCGCGTCGGGATGAATAGGCTTCGAGTTTTATTGTAGGTAGGACTTATTGATTTAATTAATATTATTAATTATATATAATTATTATATTCTGTATTTTTATATTACAATCACAATAGTTAACAGTTGTTTATTTTTGAACGCTTGGAACAATATTAAGAGCTTTGCTATTGCATTGCCTGCATTTTTTCCTTGCTCCAAGTGAGAAGAAAAGTTTGAAGCATTAATAAAAAATAAGCAATGGTTCGTTTATTTTACTATACTAATTTACTATTAAATAAATTGGTTGTTTTAGAAATATTTGTTGCTTATACACAAACACATACTTATAGTGAATATAATATTTCAAGTCTGTTTAAAGGAAATTTTTGTAATGAAGTTTTACGAATGAATTAAAATTTAAACATGACGTTTGGTGCGGTGCTGACTCTTGCTAAGTATACTACCAACACCATTCTTATTACATTTTTTCTTCTGATCGTTTATTTGAATCGTGACCTGGGCACACTTTGAAAAATGTCGCTTGGGGCTGCCAAATTTTCTTTGCCTAGGGCCCCCTACTATCTAAAGCCCCAGTTATTGTATTTTTTGTTATATAAACCATTCAAAGAAACATCATTATCGACACATGAATAAGATCAAAAAATGTATTTTTCACACAAATAAACAATACACAACTCATTATCAAGCTTTTTCATAACATGTTTGGTGCATGGATGGTGAGGTATGGCAGTCAAAATGTCTTAATTTTAACTTTTTAAAATGTTGTAATTTTAACTTTAAATTTGAGCACTTGCCATGCATTGTGGTATTGCAGTTTCAAATCAAATCAAATTTTATTCAATCAATCCAAATTAATAATAATTAGGTAATGATTAGGAGACCAAAGCTAAAAGAAAACAAAATTCTTGTGTCGCAGGCCACCGTTCACAAATTGTTCATTCTAACACAATTTTTAAGTAAATTTATAATTCATGACAAAATTAACGTAATGCACAATTTGGTGTGTTATATTGCACAAACACATCAGCATAACAATACATAGCATTTTACCGGCAAAACTTTTGACTCAAGCAAAATTTTAAAATTCTTAAAGTTTGTTGTTTGCTAACATTATTTAGTGTTTCAGTTTTTTAGCACATTAACTTCATTTTTTAATAAATGAGATATGACCATTCAAATTGCGAAACATAACGATGGCCGTGTATAAAAAAAATTTAACGAAACATTATAAAAATTCTAAAACGTTTC